CAAAAAAAGACCAAAAAAAAAAAAAAAAAAAAAAAGGCCAAGAAGCTAAGTCTGTATTTCAGTGGTTATTTCTCAAAATAATGGTGATGGGCTGGAACTGAGCCAATCATATCTTTTTACATTTTTTAATAAAAGGTTTCCTTGTGTTTCCTTTTTGACTTTCCTGCCTTGGCCTCCTGGGTAGTTGAGACTATCAAGCAGTCTGAGCTTCTGACTAGCTTTTTAGGGTGGACCAGGAATTGAACTGGTCTCCAATGTGGTCTCAACCTATGGAGCAGCAGTGTCTTACTAGCACATACTAATCTGACTGGACCCAATCATACCTTTTAATCGGCTGAAACCAAAAAGCTTGCATGCATAAGACAGCTATATCTGAATGAAGTAAAAGAACTACTGGAATGTCAGAAAAGTCATGACGTATTTTTTTTTAATAAAAAAGTGTCGTGACTTTTCTGACAACCCAATATTTCTTTGGTTTCATGGCCTTCTTTGAAAATAAAGGGCAAGGAGTCATGGCCCTAAACCAACCACCATAATCTAAGTGGTAAGCATGCACACGCGCCTGGCTTGAGTTTTAAGCCACTGGGTCCAGGACACGAACCACAGTCGACTACATGGGAGTCCAGTGACATAGCCATTATGCTAACTGCTGGTCCCACGTATTTTTTTTTTAAAGAATTACTTTATTTAGCTTTCTTTCTCTCTCACTTGATTTGACTAGAGAGATAAAGTGAGAGAGAGAGAGAGAGAGAAAGAAATTGAGAAAGCAGGTTGCCAGGTCCAGAACTTGAAAACTATGGTAGGCCATGTCAGAATCCAACACCCTTAACCACTACACCACCTGCCAGACCTCATGACTTATTTTTCTATGCAAAAGTGAATCATGACTTTTCTAAAAACCTAATATTTAGCCTGAAGGTAAAAAGAGATCATATTGTCAAGTTAAAACCCATTGTCCAATTAAAATTCAACTAACTGAGACCAGCAGATGGTGTAATGTTTATGCCACTGGACTTCCACGTAGCTGATTGCCATTCGAGTCTCAGACCTGTGGCCTAAAAGTCAGGCCAGGTTATGTGAATGTGTACCCAAAATCCCAAGAAGAGAATGTAAGAGAAGGGACTGTGGCATAGTCATCCTCCCCGGAGGCTATTTCTCACCTACTGCTTCTGACAAGCATGCACACCCTATAGCAAAAATCTCTTTCTCAAAAACAATCAATCAATCAATCAATAGTTTTTAAATAGAAAGCACTCCCAAATATTGAATCAGTTCTCCACCTAGTCTCTACAATATCAGGAAGGATGCCCTCTTTCTTCCTCCCCAGGGCAGAGTCCCTAAGGCATCACTTCACATGCTAAGTCTGGACTGCACAGTGGTGCGAGACTGAGTATAAATCTTCATAAAAACCGTTAACGGCTATCCTCCTAAACACTCTCACCTCCTCATTTATTTCCATATTGGAGGGCAATATTAAAGTGTTCAGAAGACACGATCAAGATCTGGAGAAGGTCCACAGGAGAAACGTGATGGAAGAGAGAACGCAGGGTAGAAAGGGAGCGTGCGCCGGTGCCGAGGCTGCTCCTGGGAGGCAACTGTGGATTAGCCCCAGCCTCACGTGCTCCCATTCTTTACTGCAGACAAAGGCACCTGGGCCCCGAATCTCCCGCTGTGCTGGACCATGCGGAAGGACAACTAGTCCCTCTTCTTGGTCTGTGAGCTCTGCCTGTCCAGAGGCTGGAGTGGAGGGAGGAAGGCGAGCAGGACTCAGCTCCTCCCTTGGGGACTAAGCCGTGGATTTCACTCCAGCAGGAACAATATATTCTCCCGTTAAGTATGATGATCTTTTATTGTTAAGCGTAATGTTAGCTAAAAAAAAGAAAAATCAACTGCCTATAATCACACTTAGTACTGCCTGCCTGAAATGTTTTACTAAAATGAAATATTAAAAAATGACGGTATAGAACATAGAACTTTAATGCCACTGAACTGTTCATTTGAAAATGGCATAATTGTTATTTATATCTTACCACAATTTTAAAAGGTTAAAAAAATTTAAGTTGGGTAGAAAGATGATAATTGAAAAAAAAACCCTAGAGGCTGTATGGAAATAAAGACGCAAGTATCTCGAAAGTCTTCTATTATGGAACAAGCCACTTTTGGAGATTTTGAAAAACCATTTATAGTACAAATCATTCTGGAAAATTAAAACTACAGAATTTAACTCTTTTGATTATGAATTACAAGGAGTCACTACAAAACAAGTGGCCACTGACTGGCTTTCAAAGTACCTTCAAGTTCTAATTTTAGATTAAAAAAAAAAAAAAGACCCACTCATGATTGAGTCAAACAACTTCAGAGCCTACCCCTTCATGATTACTAAGACCAGCAAGGGGGCTTCTGCTAGTCTTTAAAGTGCAAATATAAATAATAAATTTTGAGTCAGCAGGTGGAGTGGAGGTTAGAGCACTGGATCTTACATGGCCGATTGCACAGTTTGAGTATCAGACCTGATGGCTTGAGGATCATGCCAGGTGCCCAAAATCCCAAGAGGAGCCTGGTGGAAAAGGGATTGTGGTGTGGCCATCTTCCTTAGGGTGGGGGTGATTTCTCACTTTTGCTCTCTTTCTCTCTCTCTGGTGAGTGCACATAACCTGTAGTCAAAACAAAACAAAATACAAATAACAAGCTTTTAACTTTGCTGGTGGGAAAAGTACAAGATGCACACAAAGGTTAAAGCTCTCAGTCTGCAGGCCAAGCAATCAAGCTTCCATGTAAGAAGACAATGCTCCTAATTATATGGCATGATATACAGTTTTTTTTTTTTGAGAGGTTTTTGCTAAAGGGCGTGTGCACTTGCCAGAGAGAGACAGACAGAGAGACAGAAAGTGAGAAATCACCCCTCCAGGGGGGATGGCCATGAAACAATCCCTTCTCCTCAATTCTCCTCTTGAGATCTTGGGCATGCACACACATGCACCCAGTGTTGAGTTTAAGTCACCAGATCCGGGACTTGAACCACGGTACATGGGGGTCCACCGACACAGCCATTATGCCAACTGCTGGTCCCAATCTACAGGGTTTTTTTAAATTAAATTAATTATTATTTAATTTGACCAGAGAGAGGAGGAAGAAAAAGAGAAAGCAGGTTTCTAGGTCCAGAACTTGAACTGCAGTCAGTCATGCGGGAGTCCAGCACCGTAATGACCACACCGTCTGCCAGCATGGATCTATAGCTTTTTTTTTTTTAAGAGGTTTTTGCTACAGGGCGCGTGCGCTCGCCAGACCGACAGACAGAGAGACAGAAAGCAAGAAATCACCCCCCAGGGGGGATGGTCATGCCACAATCCCTTCTCCTCCGTTCTCCTCTCGGGATTTTGGGCACGCACGCACATGCGCCCGGCGTGAGTTTTAAGCCACCGGGTCCGGGACGCGAACTGCGGTCGACTACGTGGGAGTCCGGCAACATAGCCATTACGCTAACTGCTGGTTCCCATGGATCTATAGCTTTTATATGAATTTATTTATTAGAAAACAATTTCCAAGGCACATTAACAATACAAATTTTTATTAAAAAAATAATAACATCAAAACTGTCCAGCAAGTCTATATTCAATGTAACCAAAATAAACAAACACCAAAATAAAAAAAATATACATCTATAGATATCTATATATAATATGTATGCGCAAAAAACAAGTGCATATTTGGTCCCAATACTTTTTGAATATATTATCTTTATCCAAAGGAATTACATTAATGGCTAAAGAGATATGTATTAGATGTATAAAAATGTAATTTTACAACTCGTTTTAAGGTCTGTAATGAGGGTTTTTGCCAATTCTTTGTTTTTGAGTTCACAATCCCTAAGATAATGTAAGTGATATTCCCAAGATAGAACATGTAATAATGTCTAAGGATCTGAACATGTACCAAATTAGGAAGCTAACAATAAGTAGCTACATGGAATTTGAAGAGCATTCTAAGTAATTTTGGGGGGTTCTTAATGAAAACAAAAACAAACACAAAAGTTTCAAAGAGGAAAGAACAAAACAGACATAAAAAATGGACATCAATAAATTTGGTGAAGAGCAACATAAAGTCAAACTAACCAAATTAAATTAAAAAAAATTTAAATCTGATTATAAGCATTGCTGAAAACTCCTATGATTAATACTGGATAAAACTTCAAATGACAATACAAATTAGTGTTACTTTGAGGTTACAATTTTAGAAACTTTGCTTTTCTAAAAACAGGAAAGTAACCTTCGTTCCCTATACAACCAGAACGTTTATATTCCTTGGGCTGCATGCACACTAAAGGAAGATTAAAAGGTAGCAGCCAAAATGATTAATCTTCACCTTGGATGTTGAAGCACTGATCTGATGGGTTTTGGTTGGAATCAACCCATAAGCTTAAGATCGAGAGCCAAAGCCCCCAGTGGGAAGTTGTGCTTTAATTTGGTGGGCTTGGAGGTCATCCCTGGCCAAATCGGCATCCGCCTTATGGGAGGCCAGTCAGGTAGAAAAGGACTCTCCCCAAGATCTGATTTCTTAAGGCCACAAACTAGAGGAGGTCTCACAGTCAACTAATTCACATTCCTTGGAAAGAGAGAATAGGCATCAATTGTGTCCAACGAAGGAGGACACTGTCCAGGAATACCTTGGACATTTTTTGAAATTTCTGTGTGGCTTCTGCATCTGAAAAATACAAAAATAGAACAATGACAGACAAAGAATGAAGGAAAAAAGTTACCTGGCCTAAAAGTGTAAGACTTATAAGAACTTAAGCAAGCAGACAAAACAGACAAAAACAGATGAACAGTCACATTGTTTGGAATGTAATATTCTGAAAGCAAAAACAGCAGAGAAAAATACCAACTATTTTAAGCAAAACAAGAAAGACCACAGCAACAAATGTTATTTTGGAGAAGGCCAACTGGAGGAGAAAAGAAACGTATGTTAAGATATGTTAATCTGACACAAAGATAAGGTGGGATAAGAATATAGTGCCATCTGAGAGCTGAAAAGAGCTGAGTAACGCGAGCTATATAGTGTCATGGACTTTGGTGTTCGCCTTCATGTGAGAAAACACTTCACAACTTTGAACTTAGGAAACTGCCTTTGTGTAAGAAAATAACTTCACAACTTTGAACTTAGGAAATTCCAACTTGTCTTGTACCAGGCTGCACGAGCTCCACAGAACAGGAATCTATTTCAACAAGCGGCTTTAAAAACAAAAACAAAACCAAAAAACTTTTAATATTTTTCACTTCTATTAATGACACAATTTTTAAGAGTAATAGTACTAAAATCTATTAAAGTAAAAGACACTGAGTGAAAAAAATTAAACTTACTCAAAGTAGATTCAGGAGTTGAGGTACTTTCAGAAACTGAAATCAGAAGAGTTTTACATTAAAACAGTGTATGAAGAGTGAGACTATCAATTTTATATGTACAAGCTCATATTGTGGCTGGTCAAAAATACTGGGCTAAATATCAGAAGTTCAAAGTAACACAATTACATATACATACCATTTTCTATTATAACTTGGGAAGTATCTTGGCAAGTATGAGTTTTACGTTGACTCAGGTGTTTAGCCATAAGATCTAAGCCAGAAGAATCAGTTAGGAAAGCACATTTAAGGCACACTAGAGTAATGCCCCTATAAAAAAAAAAAAAAACAATATGAAAAAGAAGGTTCTTACCTTTTTTGGAAATCCACATACAAGTTCAATAATTATTTTTTCATGTAATAATTCTTGACTCACATTTTATGTGCCAAGACCATCATCTCCCAATTTTATTATAGAAGCATGATACTTCTATAATTTTCTCTAGAAAATGGCATAGCTATGTCTAAATTATGCTAATACTTAGTACTTTATAAGTTGTCGGGGACCAGCAGTTAGTGTAATGGCTATGTCGCTGGACACCCAGGTAGTTGACCACAGTTCGAGTCCTGGACCTGGTGGCTTAAATTCATGCTGGGTGCATGTGCGTGCCCAAGATCCCGAGAGGAGAATGGAGGAGAAGGGACTGCAGTGTGGACATTCCCTTTGGGGGGGTGCTTTCTCGTTTTCTGTCTCTCTGGCAAACGCATGCATCCTATAGCAAAGATCTCTCTCAAAAAAAAAATCATGTAATATAATTATTATTTTCAACTTATTAACAAGAATAACTATACTTTTGAAGATCTTCAGATACTTTAAATATTTCACCCATACAGGAATAAAAACCAGGAGCATACCTTAGACCAACTGATTTCTCCTCTACAGCTCTAACTCTTAGCCTAATGTGTGTGGGTATGTATATATTTATTTTTTAAAATTTATTTTTCTTTCATGAGAGTAAGAGACAGAGACAGAAAGAAACACTTTCAACAAGGTCTCATGCCATGATCCCTGCCTCCAACCTATAGTCTTCCCAATCAGCCAGGATCATGGGCACACATGCCAAGCACATACAGGTCGACTAAGGAACCTAACTAACCCATGATCTTCCTTATGGATACAGCATCGCTTGAGCAGCACGTTACCATTCGTGCCATTCAGGAGGCCCATGTTGTATATTTACATATAGCTCCATGCATCAAAAATCATCTACATGAGGGAACCAGCAGTTAGCGTAATGACTATGTCGCTGGACTCCCACGTAGTCGACTGCGGTTCGCGTCCCGGACCTGGTGGCTTAAAACTCACGCTGGGCGCATGTGCGTGCATGCCCAAGATCCCGAGAGGAGAATGGAGGAGAAGGGATTGCGGCGTGACCATCCCCCCTGGGGGGTGATTTCTCGCTTTCTGTCTCTATGTCTCTCTCTGTCTATCTGGCGAGTGCACGCACCCTATAGAGAAAAAAAAAAAAAAACTACATGAGACCAAAATAATGTGCTCTCCCCACCAAAATCACTCCTCCTGACTGATCTTCCTTATGATCTCATTTCCCTGATACTGATGCTCAAAATTAGAGCCATCTCTGACTTTCTTCTTTATATTCAATATTTCAAACATGCTTTAATTTTAACAATTTACTGAACACTTAGTGTGCCAGGTTAAGGGTTTTAGACATATCACCTGATCTAAATTTTAAAAAATAACTTAAAGAGATAGGTGCTATAATTATATAATTAAAACATGCCTGGCATGTTTTTCAAGCCACTGGGTCCAGGAATCAAACCTTGGGGTTGACCATGTAGGATCTGGCTACCTTAACCACCAGGCCACAAAGCCAGCCTAATCATCACTTTTTTTTTTTTTTTAATAGAGGACAGGGTTAGATTTATGAACCTACTAAGGCCAAAACCAGGTTTAAAATTAAGCCCTTTGGTTACAGAATGCATCTTCTTATAGAGGATGTGATACCACCTCACCACCTTAACCGAGGTTATTATTTAATCTTACCTACAATAATAGCCTTAACCAGTGTATGTGCCTCGTGCAGCTATAACTCTTTGTATACTCCTCCAAATTCATCTTTTTAAAGTATCCTTGTTTCTAACCAAACACTAATGATTTTGTCAATGTGTACCAAATTAAAATTAAGTCTAGATTCCCTACCCTTGTTCCCCCCCCCCCCCCCCCCCGG